TTCATCAGACGCTTTCTTCTGCTTTGAATAGTTTGCCCAGATCCCTGAGCAACTATCCCATGCAATTTGCTGGTAGCCTAAATAACTTAAATTCAGGTACACCCAGAGCGCTGCCCAGATCTGCCCCTGCATGCAATAATTAGGGTTCTCCAAGTGCAAACCTGCAGCTCAGGAGGCAGTAAGCTCCACCAGCATCTCCAGATGGCTACCTGCTGGCGGTGGCCCGTGGCAGGGACGGGGCAGGGATGTGCCGCAGTGTGGCATGGCTGCGTGGAGAAGGCTTCTGTGGAAACATGCCACTTGTGGGTGGCACCGTTCCCCCAAGCAAATGCCCTGTGAAACTGCGGCCTGGTAAAGACAGACCCGCTCTCTGTTGCCCGATGGAGGGGCAGAGACTCGTAGGAGACCCAGGGAGGCCGGGTATTGCATTCCTTACCTGTGAAATAACCCCTTGCAATCCAAACGCTTGGGGAATTCCTAGATCTCTTTGTAGCCACATTTCGGCTGTGACAGCGTGAGGATTTAAGTAAGGCAAACTCTGAAGGGGGAGATTATTATCTGCTTTTAGAGCAACGGGGAGAAAGCAGTTGGAAAAAACAGACCTGCTTTTTACAAACCTTGTCTTACCTGATCCTGCTGGGAACAGGAGGGAACGTACAGGCCGGCCAGTGCACCAAGTTTTTCAGAAATGACTGGTTTTGAGTAAATCCAGAATTAACCTTTAAGTGTAGGCAAGCCCTAACGCTTGAATTATGTAAGGAGGGATCTTCTGGAGCAGGCGAAGAGAGAAAGGCAGAAACAAAGCTACTTGATTGAATCAAGTATCAAATTTAGGCTGAAAAATAGGGGAATTAGGAAGTTTGGCCAGGGAAGCAGTGACAACTGTTGCGGGGATATTTAGACGCAAACGGGGCCCTGCTGCACAAATGCCCCCAGGGGAGGATGGCTCCTCGGCAGGGCTCTGCGCAGGGAGACCTAACACAGTACTTCCACCTCCGGTGCTGAGGACTCTCCAGCTGGGAGCAGAGGGCTTGGAGTGGGTGGTGCGTGTGCGGGTGGAGTTGTGTACACTCAGCCTTCTCAGCCAGCCACAATAAATTATCTCATTAGTAAACCCAGGGTAGCAGTGCTCCTCAGCACATACCCAGCCTCCCACAGCACAGAAAAACTTTGCGTCTAATTAACCAAATCAAAGGGTCCCCCAGACGCAGCTTAAAGGGACGCTCTCAGCTTGAAACCCAGGCTCCTTCAGCAAGTTGTTCTGCGCGTGGTGGAACTAATGAACCTCGATTTCCGATGGCTGGAGGTCTGGCATTCCCTACGCCCCCTGCAAGTCCGTCCTCTCCTCCCCCCGGCTCATGCCCAGCTTCTTCCTGCAGCCAGGGACAACCGAGGAGGGAAGAGGAGCCCGTGGTACAGTAGCCCCAACCCCACGCGCTGATGGGATTGACCGTGCTCACGTGCTGATGGCAGAGAACTGAGTTTTCACCCCGGGGGTTTCCTCGCAGTGAGGGACTCCCTGAGGTCACCCTTTTCTTCCCTCCTGCCTTTTTTTCTCACATCTTTAAGACCTCTGTTTCCCCACAAGTGCTCGTGGCTCAGCGGGACGGGGCTGCACGGGGAAGGGAACCCTGCTCCCCCAGGACGCGTGGCTGGGAAAAGGAAAAAATGCAGGTGCTGCTGATGCAGCGGCTTTTCAGTTGCATTTTTCTGGTTTTACAACTGCTTGGCCCCCTCTCCTCTTTATTAGTGGGCAAAAGACAGGCAAATGCCGAATGTAAAATGCTGCTGCTCCAGCTGTAAGCAGAACTGCACAGCCCCCGGGGCAGGCGAGCTCCCCGGCGCTGCGGGAGGAAGGATTCGGGGGTGTTACCCCTCAGAAGAGGAGACCAAAGTCATGTTTGTTTGAGGCACAATCCCTTTCCTCAGAAGCGTAGGAGCTGCAGCTCTCCCCCTGCCCGCCCAGCTCCTGCGCCGAGGGGGCAGCTTGCTTTACAAATGCTTTTCTCTTCCCCTCGTGCTGGAAATTTGATTCTACAAAAACACTTACACGGCAGCTAATTGCCAACCCTGCAGTGACTTAGCTCTCTAATTCCTGCCAGTCAATGAACCAGCCCAAAGAGCTGGTTTTCATAACTTGCTGAATGTATGAACCCAGCCCTGGAGACATAACATAGCTGGGATTTTTTTTTTTTTCCTGGACAACTTCTGGATCCTTCTCAATTTTGGAAATGTCTTTCACTCCACAGGGCATAAGGAACGTCCAAAGGTGGAGCGGGCAACCAGGCCCATCCCAGGGAGACATCAAGCAGACGTGGACCCACAGAGGCCCCGGAGACCAGCTGGGGTGCCAGAGAAGAGATGATTGTCAAGAAATTGGTTTGAAGGTAAAACTGGCGTCGTCCAACCTGTCTGTTTGTAATCTGAGGGCTCATCATCATCTCTCCAGGGGTTCCTACCTCCCAGCAATGTCCACGCCTTGCAAAGGTTTCCTTGATCTGCTGGTTTGTATCCAGAGGGCTGCTGCAAAAATTGTTGTGCTGGCCGATGGCTTAGACCACATCATTCCTCCCCACGCTCCTCCCTGGCACCCTCTTTTCTCTGCCCCAACTGTGGACTGTTCATCTTCCCTCTCCCAGCCCTTCATTATCCACCTCTCCTCCACCCATCATCTCCCATGCAACAGAGGCCGACTCCGTTGTGCTTTTCCAACAAGCCCCTTCATGCTCTCTCCTGCTCTGCTCCACACCTGGGAGAAGGAGCCTCTGAGCACTTGCAAAGGCACCACATCGCCCTCCTTGAAGCTCTTCTTTGTCACGACGTCTGCAGAAACCTTCACAGCAGAGCTGCTGTGCTAGGAGTGGCTCCTTGCTCCCTCCCGCTGCCCGGTCTGCCTGCACCCAGCTGTTGTTTCTTCACTCCTGCCTGCGCTGCGCAGAGCTTCGTCCTTCGTTGTAGGCTCTGTGGCTCTACAGCACTCGGCAGAACATGGTCCTCACCCAGTGACGGGAGCCCAAAAACGAGCTAAGCCACGTTTGGGCCAGTGGCTCCAGAGATGGTACGTTGCTTCATCTGCAGGTGCTGAATTTGGGCACAGCGAGATACCAGTTCACGCTTGACAGCATGTTTGCTGTCCCAGCTGGACTGCAGCGTAGCGGGGCAAACGGAAACGCAAAGTCCAACCCGGTCTTGGGGCGGGTAGAGCTGTGGTCAGTGTCTCCTGTGGAGGCAGAAGCCGTCACACGAGTACAAATCATTCCTCCTCCGCTGTGACCCCTCCCCTGTT